AAATAAAAGGATACAATTAGATAGGATATAATAGAAATTCACACTTTTGAGAATCAACTAATAAAGAAACACTTCCATATGCTATATACCAACCTTGGCAGGATTTGGTGGCCCGTTAAAGAAGTACAATGTCTGAAAAAATCTACCGAAATCCCAAGATTTTTGTCCACTCTCAGCATATACAGCCCACCTATGCGTTTTTGATGATAAAAAAGGCCAGACTCCGTTGTATAGACATTGCCTATGTGTTAACTGAATGAACTGTTGAGACGGAAGTGATAAAGTCTTATGCTGAAATGCATTCGAATTAATTCTGCATGTATATGATGGAGAAACCCCCTGAAAAAATCGCTAAGCAAGTTAACCTTAACAATACATAACAAAAATCCATAAAGTTGTATTAGTAAATAATAAATCATTGTGGTAACTAAAAGAATAAAATTGCCATAGTTGCAAAATTATTTTACAACTGCCACTTGTCTAAAGATCTTAATATTTCCATTGATTTCGTACTGCTGTTCAAATGACCTCCTCCCTCCCAGTTCCCCTTATTCCATCTTTTCTTCTGTTTCATCTTTGATTACCATCATCATTCTCTTTGATTGTATGCAAGGTTTTAAATATTGAATATAGGGAAATATCAGACGACCAAACTCCATATCAGATTGCCAACATCGGGGAAATGTGAAAGATATATAGTAAATATGAGTGCTACATCAGATGATGTGCATATATAATATAATGTCCTAAAATGTTATCTAAATATACCTAATGAATCTAAGGATACAAAGATATAAATAATATATGTTTAGGATCATTTACCAATCTTTTAAAAGCAATAGAAGTCCAAAGAGGCAGTGTAATATTTCAGTCAATTTTTTAGGCTGAAATGTAACTTGATATATTAGGGAAATTATGATATAGTGCCCAAAAATTATCAAAAGCAATATATTGTTCTGCAACAAGACAAATGAAAGAAGTTGATACGAGTCGCCGTGCGAGCACCCTTTGGTCGCGTTATTACCAAAAGATGGGTTGAGAAAAAAACGACTAAAACAATAGAACAACTCAGTTTTGGCGAATGAAAATACATTCTCTAGATTATGAAGAACAAAAGATTACAATCTCTCCCTCAGTCCCTCACAATCTCACTAGAATCGAGAACAACCTCTCAATCTTCTCTAAACCCTAATACAATGATTAGAATCTCTCTCTGATCTAAGATCTCATAGATCCTCACAATCTAAACCCCAATCCTTTTGATTAGGATCTCACTTAGACCTAAAACCCTTTAGATCTACATCTCACAATCTAAACCCCAATCCTTTTGATTAGGATCTCACTTAGACCTAAAACCCTTTAGATCTACATCTTGACTCCCTCTTTTCTGTTTAGAACCCTAAACAGTCCCTATTTATAGGGTTTACAACGTGGTGGCAATCTGATAAATAACCAAAACCAAACCCAGCTAGGATTCCTTCAAAACAGAAACCAAGTCTGCCCAGAAAACCTCGATGAGTCGACTCATGACTGAGATGAGTCGACTCAAGATCCACCAGTCGACTTATAGTCGACTCAAAATGTGCACAAACTGTGCTGGCCTGCATGAGTCGACTCATGATTTTCATGAGTCGACTCAGCAGAAGCATTTTGTTATCTGGAGGCGTTTTCTTGAGTCGACTCATCAACCCCTCAGTCGACTCATCAACCATCAGTTGACTCATCAGGCTGAGAACTGAAATCTTCGATTCTTTGTTCTTCCGACTCGCTTCACGCTCCATCCTGTGCTCCGTCGTGTCGCCTCACACCACTATTCTCAAGATATCCTGAGAATCACCTATCCTCAAGCTCCCATGAGGATCTCTTTTCCGAAGAGAAGATACACCTGTATCATGGGTCCCCTCTTTAGAAACTTGAAGTCCCATTCAAGTTAGAACTTCAGCTGAGGAAACCCTCGAGCCCCTCCATCTTTGTTGACTTCAGTCATCTTCTTCTTCCTTAATCTTTGAACTCCTTCCAAAGAAAAGGATCTCGCCAAGTTTCTTGTACTGTGATCGAGTAAGGACCATACACAGAATACCCCTTCACTGGATCTGATGCTCTGATACTAACTTGATACCAGTCGCCGTGCTAGCACCCTTTGGTTGCGGAATTACCAAAAGGTGGGTTGAGAAGAAGACGACTAAAACACAAGAACAACTCAGTTTTGGCGAAGAAAAATACCTTCTCTAGATTATGAAGAACAAAAGATTACAATCTCTCCCTCACAATCTCACTAGAATCAATAACAACCTCTCAATCCTCTCTAAACCCTAATACAATAATTAGAATCTCTCTCTGATCTAAGATCTCATAGATCCTCACAATCTAAACCCCAATCCTTTTGATTAGGATCTCACTTATACCTAAAACCCTTTAGATCTACATCTTGACTCCTTCTTTTCTGTTTAGAACCCTAAACAGTCCCTATTTATAGGGTTTACAACGTGGTGGCAATCTGGTAAATAACCAAAACCAAACCCAGCTAGGATTCCTTCAAAACAGAAACCAAGTCTGCTCAGGAAACCTCGATGAGTCGACTCATGACTGAGATGAGTCGACTCATGATCCACCAGTCGACTTATAGTCGACTCAAAATGTGCACAAACTGTGCTGGCCTGCATGAGTCGACTCATGATTTTCATGAGTCGACTCAGCAGAAGCATTTTGCTATCTGGAGGCGTTTTCTTGAGTCGACTGATCAACCCGTCAGTCGACTCATTAACCGTCAGTCGACTCATCAACCCGTCAGTCGACTCATCAGGATGAGAACTGAAATCTTTGATTCTTCGTTCTTCCGACTCGCTTCACGCTCCATCCTGTGCTCCGCCGTGTCGCTTCACACCACTATTCTCAAGATATCCTGAGAATCATCTATCCTCAAGCTCCCATGAGGATCTCTTTTTCGAAGAGAAGATACACTCGTATCAGAAGTCAGCAAACATATCAACTGGTATATCGGCCATGTAGGGAATATATTGCCCAAATTTCCGAAAAAGTGTTAAAGGATATCGAGACCATATCGTTTCGTGGGAAGCCTTATAAAAGGATGTAACAGCCCGATATATCGGCTATGCCGGAGGATATTTAAAACAAGTATTATATGTTAAGTATAAACATCATGTTAATCTAAGGGTCAATTAGAGAAAAAACCCCCGAATTTTGAGGGAGTTGCACTAAATCCCCCTCATCTTTTTTATTGCAGTAACCCACGTCACTTTAGGAGTTATAGCACATCACCCCCTTAACTTTTTATTCCATTAAATCTTACCTGAAATTTTCTAGTTTTATCCTCATATTAGCGTCATCAATTCTAACATGTCAGTGGGTAAGCACACGCCAAAAAAGACAAAAATTCCTTCTTAGTCTCAAAATATACCCTTTTATTAAAAAGGAAAAATAGCTAATTTTGGGGACTAATAGATTATTTTCATCTTTTTCTTGGCACATGCTTGCCACACGAGATGTTAGAATCGATAGTGCAAGTTTGGAGAATAAATGAGAAATTTTCATGTGAAATTTAGTGGAATGCAAGCATTTAGGGGGAGAGGGGGAGCGGGGGGTTATGTACAATAATTCCTAAAGTTTTTTTTTTGTTGGGGTTTTTTTTTTTTTTGGGGGGGGACTAGGTTTTGTGCAACTCCCCCAAAGATGGGGGTGTTTTCTGTACTTAACCCCTTAGACCATAAGTACACTAAATGGTAATATGTGTCCATTGATAATAAATCAAAGAACTAAAAAGGAAAAATAGCTAATTTTTGGGACTAATAGATTATTTTCATCTTTTTCTTGGCACATGCTTGCCACACGAGATGTTAGAATCGATGGTGCAAATTTGGAGAATAAATGATAAATTTTCATGTGAAATTTAGTGGAATGCAAGCGTTTAGGGGGAGAGGGGGAGCGGGGGGTTATGTACAATAATTCCTAAAGTTTTCTTTTTGTTGGGGTTTTTTGGGGGGGGGAGGGGGGGACTAGGTTTTGTGCAACTCCCCCAAAGATGGGGGTGTTTTCTGTACTTAACCCCTTAGACCATAAGTACACTAAATGGTAATATGTGTCCATTGATAATAAGTCAAAGAACTAAATTTTTCAGAATTTTAGATTATCTAGGTAAACAATTTTTAACCTTTATAAGGTTTAAAAGGTCTTTAAAAATTGTACTACCCTATCTTGTTTTTGAGATTTCTATACAAATACAGTGTGAAATAGATTGCAAACCATCTACACAACAAACCCATGAACAAAAATAGTGAAAAAAGAAAGAAAAAGAAAGGAATTTTACCTGCGCGCTGTGAAGAGCAGAGAACTTCACAGGACAGCAGCAGCTCTCCATCATCCCCCAACAAAAAGAGAAAACTAAAAGATATTATGCTAAATTTCTTCGGAAATTATAGGCCACCCAAGCTCATACATACCTTCTCGCTGTCCGGTATCCCTGCACCAAGCCTTAATATAACGAGAACCCAGAAAGGAAAGCCAAAGAGATGGTAAACTGATCGCTCATCATTTAGGAGCAGCCACCGTTTAAGGAAACTGTTCCGCAGTAACACCAGACGCGAACCCTCCTTCTCGAACCACCTCACCCCTTCCCGCGCTCCGTCGCCTCATCGATGGCGAAAGCAGGAGCCAAGACCCTAATCTCACCATTTCGACTCACCTCCCTTCTCCGAGTCGAGAAAAACCCTAATCGCGCCCTCGAACTACCCTAACCCTAAATGTGGCCCTAGCCCTAAGCCCTGCCGCTACAGCGCGAGATCCTACGATCTCATCATCTGCAAGCTCGGCCGAGCCAAGAAATTCGAAGAAATGGAGCAAGTCCTCTCCCAGATGAGCCAAGAGACGAGGTTCTCCCAGATTGAGATCTCGACGAACTCAATCTGAAGCCAGATGCTTGCACTTATAACATCCTCATTCGATCAGCCAACTCGATCGACTGTGCGCTGAACCTGTTCGATGAAATGCTGGAGAGGGGGATTGAGCCGAGCATCGTCACATTTGGAACCCTGATCTCCGCTCTCTGCAACAACTCGAAGCTCGACGAGGCCTTCAAGCTCAAAGAGGAGATGCCGAGGCTGTACAATATAGAACCTAACGCCTTCGTGTACGCCGCTCTAATCAAAGCCCTCTGCAAGAGTGGCAAGCTCGAAGAAGCTCTCAGCCTGAGGAGAGAGATCTCGGGATTAGATTCTGCAGTTTACTCCACCCTAATTCGCGCGCTTTTCAAAGCGGGGCGAAAGGGGGAGGTTGTTGAAATCTTGGAGGAGATGAAGAAGGCTTGTGTGGAACCTGATGTCGTAACCTACAACGCGATGATCGCAGGGTTTTGCGATGATGGGGATCTTGATGCTGCGTTGGGGGCAATGAACGAGATGAAGAAGGAGGGGATTAAACCTGATGTCGTTAGCTATAACACCGTTATCTCGGGGTTCTGTAAAAAGGGGAGAGCTGAGGATGCTGTCGAGGGTTTTTTGCCGTTTGTCGAAAGGGGGGAGAGGGGTTTTTGATGGATGGGGGCTGGTGATAAATAGTGTTCTGAAGGAGAGAGCTAAGCTTGAGGTTGAAGAGATTTTAGATTGCTTAATTTGAGGCGATTATAGCGTACAAATATTGGAAAGTTCGACGGAAGTTTTGTGGAAACTATTCTCGGCTACTTTAGCGGGACTCCCTGCATGAATTTTTGGCGGCCAACTTGGAGTCAACTGAATTTCCTTATTTTATTATTATCACTAAATTTCGTCATCGTCATGGACTTATACGACATAGCTGGAGTAGGGTGTTTATGAATCTAGTAGATGTTATTCTGAGAATGGGTTTTTTTTTTGAGAGAATTTATTTAGGATGCAACGCTGTCGTAGTTATTGTAATCAAAATGTATGTTATTGTAATCAAAATGTATGTACCTTGACTAGAAATATAGGTTTCTTGTAGAGGCTCACTCTGTAATAGAAATTCAAGTTTGTTGGAGTACAGGCTCACTCTCTTCCAAATTCGGTTCTCTTTTTCAAAACCGTACTCTGAAGATCTAAGCAATAGTATTTCCTAGATTATCAGAGAAAAAACGTTAAAAGGTTCTAAGCTTACCAAACTACTCAGACCAAGGCTATGTTTGTTTTTTTGAGAAAGGGAGAGAAAAGAGAAGGAAAGAGAAATTAAAAAAAAAAGAAAAAAAATGATATTCTTTTTATTGTTTGGTTAGAAAGAATATTGTAATGAAAGTTAGAAGAAAATTCATAAGAAAATTATTTTCTCTTATTTGGTTATTTTCTGAGAAAAAGAGGAAGAAAATTATCACAACATAATTTTAATTCATACTTTTTAGAATTGGATTTAGATTTTAAACAATTTACAAAATATAATTAAGTTAAATTGTGATTCTACCATATTTTCAAAATTTTGTAAGTTACCGAATATGTTTGCACAATCTTAACTCAAGAAAATTGAGTCAAAATCACAACATAATTTTAATTCATACTTTTTAGAATTGGATTTAGATTTTAAACAATTTACAAAAAATAATTAAGTTAAATTGTGATTCTACCATATCTTCAAAATTCTCTAAGTTACCGAATATGTTTGCACAATCTTAACTCAAGAAAATTGAATCAAAATTATGATGATTCTAATTTGCATATAATCTTACATGATTTTGGACTTGCCACTTATTCATAACCTCAAGTGAAAAAAGATGATGCCAAATAAAGTCTAGAAAATGATGCAGTTCAAACGTAATTATTAAAAATTAATATCATTCATATCATGGGAAGTAACAAGTTAATAAACATGTATTTTAAAAAAATCGGCAATTCCTAACATAAAAACTTGAGTGGTCAACAACATCAAGTTCGTAAATAATAACAAGCAGAAGCACAACCACAAATCCACTAATTAGAGAACAACATTTCTCACACATAATATTTGCAGAAAGGTAAATGAAAGGAACCCAAACAATTCTAAAGTAAATGTCATGATATTCCTAAAAAAAGCATAATCCATTTCTAGTCACAAATTCTATTACAATCAATTTCATATAGAAAAATCTTAAACCAATAAAGGCTATTACAATCAATTTTATATAGAAAATACTAAACAGAGAGAGAGAGAGAGAGAGAGAGAGAGAGAGAGAGAGAACCGCCAAAGTCCTTGATTTTTGACTTTAGTGAGCCCATCAAAACATCAATCTCGCAAACTTCATCCTCTGAAATTAATTCAAAAAATTCAAATAAGTACAATATAAACATCAAAAACCTACAAAATAAAGTCTTAACATTCAAGTAATAAGTACAAGTACCTCAGCAATCTTAGTGTTCTCAATTCTAATGTATTATTGCAGCTTAGATTTGGCAAAATAAACAAGTACCTTAGTAATGCAAATGTCTTTGAACATATTGGGAGGATTTATTCAATTGCAGAAAATCACATCCCACAAGAGATTGACATATTTAGCCTTGACACACTTGGTAACTGGGATATCAATGGAGAATGGGATCAACCTTTCACTGTTCACCCAAAGGTCTTCAATATGCTTTCACTGCTTAAAATTTCATCTATACACTCGATCATTTACAGAAAGCTCCAGGATCTGGAGAGCTCGTTGTAATTGGGGCCGATGCAGCTAAACCTTATCTGGTTTTAGGAATTATCTCAGGTTCTTTTCAATGTGTAGTGGCTGGAATTTGTAACAATATCCACAATTATTCTCATAGTTGATACTCTTAATCCATTCAGCTGATGGAAAGAAACTAAGACATAAGGTTGATCTAAAGCTCAATAGAAGCATCATTTGTCACGATACAAGCGTCACGAACATGTACGTTCATTTGAATCAATTTCACAAACATCGCTCTTAATTACGATTGTGACATATCTTTCATGTTGTAGGTACTGACATATCTTTTATGTTGAAGGTACAACATTTGAAACCATGCTTAGATTATTAAAATAGACTACAATTTAATATAAATGCCTTAATATTACTCTTTCAAGCCGACACAATATAGTTCAGCATCCACACAAATTAGTTTTGAAGGCAGTCCATCAAATTAGCAATGGTATAAAAGTCAAGGTCACTAGGACACACAAACACATAATTAAGATAAAAAAAAAGTTTTGTGTTCAAAAGCAAAAGATCAAGATAAAACCAAGCATCTTATGAACACATAATTAAGGGTTTTATCAGAATAGACTCAAAACAAACATCTACTCGAGCAATGCATATACCAAAAATAGAGCACTTAAATATCAGCGGTTTAGTGCTATTTAGATACAACTAGAAATCAACTAACAAGTTGACAATGTGTGAGGAGAAAATGCAGGGAATGAACTAGATGAGGATTAACATCCAAACAAGAAAAGGCTGTGTTAGTTAATAACAATTCATAAAGTTATGCACAGGAAATTCATAGCCCTGCATCTCTAAAGATAACACACTACATTCAGTTTCTAACTACAATGTTAATTTCTACCATATACAAAAAAATGCAAGCCAGCAATTTTATTTTACAACCAAAGTAAGACCAAATCATGGTAAACTAAAAATTTCTCAAAAGACAGGGGTGATGTCCGATACTCAATAATCAACAACCACCAAGCAAATACCCAAAAAAAAAAGCGAGGTTAAAATCAATAAGTCCCCCTTAGCTATGATCATAACATAGGTCAATTAAGGGCTAAAGTCTCAATTGTATTAGTTGCAACTATAATATCTAATGCCATAAAAATTAAAAAAAAATACCTCAACTGATGAATCGATGAGTTTTTTCTCTGCTAGATTCATTTTCACGGAAGAGAGATCTGAGAGAACTCTAATCTTTAGCAAATCTGAGAAAATCCAATCAGATCAGAGAGCTACAATGTCGCTTTGTTGTCGAAAACTAAGAAGTTGAACACTGGTTTGATCGGCATCGGACTAGGATTTGATTGGCATTGTGGGTTTGGTCGGCGTTGAACTAGGGTTTAGGCAAAGTTAAACTAGGGTTTAATCAATCACCATGGATCGAGAGAGAGAGAGAGAGAGAGAGAGAGAGAGAGAGAGAGAGAGAGAG